GCCTGGACTGAGCCAGCCACGCCAGAGCAGATATAAGCGTGGTGTGAACACAGATCGAGGCTGTTGTACTCCAAAGTGAAGACATCATCGGTCCTCAAGTCCCGGGCAACGGCCTGCCTGGTCCAGTCTGTGTCGTGTTCCAGAGTGTTAGTGAGTTGAGGAAGGTGGTCACCACCTCATGTACAGTGTTATATTACTTACCGTTTAATAAATAGTGTTGCCTCCAAGCTGCGTGTGTGTGCACCTAATTCGAACCCACTACAAAGGTAAGAGGGGGGGAGGAGCCAGGGAGGAGGGATGCAGAGGGCGGGGGGTGTGGAGTAGGGGGGGGTGAAGCTGTTGTTTTACTGTAGCCCCGAAGCAATTAGGATATTACCATGTTACTGGTAGGAACGAAGTGAACCAGCCTACAATAGATTATATCGTCCGTCCGATGTCCGATTCGGTGTAGCAACATCGCCCCCTACTGCAAACACTTGGCATGACCCTACAAAAACCTTTAGACTCAGTGAGGCTTTCCTGGCTAAACAAGTGTAACATTCCCTTATAATTCCCTGAGATAGCTTTTAATTAAAACATTGAAATTAATTAGGCTTTCCTGGCTAAACAAGTGTAACATTCCCTTATAATTCCCTGAGATAGCTTTTAATTAAAACATTTAAATTAAAAATTAACTCACAGCGGCCTAAAGCCTACAGCTAGGCCTAAAGCCTAGAACTAGGCCTCAAACTCTCCCTTCGTATCGTACCCCCGCGTGTGTGAAAGGGAGTTAATGTTTAACAATGTTACATTCCCTGATGTTTTTAAATAGATACATTTAAATTTAAAGCTTTTACATAAATAATAAAAACATTTCAATTAAAAATTAACTCACAGCGGCCTAAAGCCTGCAGCTAGGCCTAAAGCCTAGAACTAGGCCGCAAACTCTCCCTTCGTATCGTCCGATTAGGTGTAGCAACATCGCCCCCTACTGCAAACACTTGGCAGGACCCTACAAAAACCTTTAGACTCAGTGAGGCTTTCCTGGCTTAACAAGTGTAATAATACATTATGTTTATATTCTTTGGTTATTCGTTCCTACCAGCCCACCCCGCAAGGACCTGTTAATAACATCCTTCTAGTGGGATGTGTGGAAGACACGGTTGGTGAGACACAATGACGGTGCTGAGGCATGAGGAGTAGCGTGCTGCAGAAACTGGGAATGCGGGTATCGAAGCAAGCTATAAAAGCAGTTAAGATTTTACCTGGTTAATCACATCTTTCCAATGATTGCTCAATTTGAATCTATCCTCTCGGTTAAAGTTATGTCTGTGTTCGTATATCTGGATGGCTTCATGAACAAACCTTTGATAGTAGCCTGACGGTTTGCAGAGTACCTTGGTCTCGGAAAAAAAAAAGCAATATCATGAGAGCCCCACAGCGTTGTAGCAGTGATCAGCAACTGCGGAAGAGCCAGTTCTGCCATGTTTCAAATCCGCCTTGTGCTCGCTACATGTCGTTTCGTTTCCCCAATGTAACTATTTTTTATTTTCACCTACGTGACTTTACCGAAAGAACCAAAGAGTAAGAAAAACTGCTGAAGTAGGCGAGAGAGCGGCCGTGGCACGAGGTTATATAGGTATCGGCAGTAGGGGGGTGAGAGAAGGTGGGGGGGAGAGAGGGGGCGGGGCAGAAAGTGGGACCCCGCAGCAGCACTTGAGTCACCGGTGGAGAGATCAGAGAAAGGCACAGAGAGAGACACAAGGAGTCGGAAATACCAGCTGACATAGGCAGGTAGGATGGAAACATCCCAGTCAGTTAAGACTTTACCTGGTTAATAATGTCCTTCCAATGATTGCTCAGTTTGTACCCATCCTCTCGGTTGAAGTTGTGTCCGTGTTGAAATATTTGGATGGCTTCATGAACAAATCTCTGATAATAACCGGTGGGGTTGCAGAGTACCTTCGTCTTGGAAAAGTCAATTTCGTGTGAGCCCACTGCGTTAAAACAATGATCAGCAACGGCAGAGGTATTGGTCCTACCGTGTTTCAGATCTGCCTTGTGTTCGCGAACACGGTCAGAGACATGTCGTTTCGTTTCCCCAATGTAACTGCTGCCACAGCCACAACTCAGTTTGTAGACACCTGGGTATTGCATATCAGGAATCACATTCTTCACGGATGGGATCAAATCACAGATTTTGTGTACTGTGTTGAAACGAACCTGGATCTTGTGTTTGTTTAAGATTTTGGAAATCTTTTTGGTAACCCCTGCTATGTATGGCAAAGTTGTAATAAAGGACTCTGTCAGGCGATGTAAGTCTCCGTTCGTCCTTTATTTGAGTTCTTCTCCTCCGCACCCCGCTGGCCTCCTCCTCGGACCAGCGTCGTCTCTCACGCACCCCGCGCACTCGCTTCTCCTCAGCTCCTCCACTCGTCCTTCACCCCACTAGTCCTGACAAGGGACCAGCGTCTCCTCTCACGTGCCATGCACGCCCTGCTAGCCACTCCGCTAGCCCCGTGTGCCCCACACACTCTGCTAGCCACCCCGCTAGCCCCGTGTGCCCCGCACACTCTGCTAGCCTCTTCGCTAGCCCCATGTGCCCCGCATACTCTTCTCTCACTCCGCACACCGCTGGCCGACGGTGTGCCAAGCCCCATCAGCCACGTGGCTGATGGCGCGGCGGCCACCCAACATGGTCCCGCCTCTTCACTCCATCGACTGGCCTCGATCTCGACCGGGCTCCCCTCTATAACCTCTCTCTCACGTGACCCTGACTCCTCCCTTCCGGATCGTCAGATCCGCTCTTCTCATACTGCCCTGCTGGCTCCACCTCCAATACCCCGGGTCGTGTGATTGGGCTAGAGTCCAGCAGCAACCTCATTCACGCTCGCATTACAAAGTGATGGAATTGGTTGGATCCTCAGATGTTTGTCTCCCCATAGCTGGGGAGACAGCTTTGCAGATTGTACGGTCAGAATATCCGTTCATCCTGAGGGCTTGGTGTACGTGCTCCAGCTCACTGGCTAGGTGATGCTGGTCGGAGATGCAACGGGCCCTATGGTGTAGTCAAGCTTTAGATAGGCATCCGTGTGGGTGGCTTTCCTGTAGACAGAGTATTCCAGCGAGCCTTTTACACTTCCATGGTGAATTTGATAGACGGGTGTATGGAATCGATGTGGTTTAAAAATTGGTTTAGTGCTGACTGGCCATGTGGACAGATGACGAACGTGTCATCTACGTATCTCTTCCACAAGGCAGGACGTAGGGTGGATGTCTGGATGGCATCTGTCTCAAATTTCTCCATGAAAACATTCGCGACCACTGGCGATAAGGGAAAACACATTGGGTGCCCTCATTTTGTTTGTAGAATGTACCATTCCAGGTGAAGTAAGTAATGGTAAGGCAGTGTCTTACCAAAGTTGGTACATCTGGATTCAGTCCCTGTTGGACCAAGTCTTCAATGATTGCAATGGTATCAGGTACCTTGGTGAACAGGGAGACTACATCGAAACTGACAAGCAAATCATCTGGAGACATTGAGATGTCCTTGAATAGAGAAATCAAGTGAGCTGAGTTAAGTCCAGCAGAAGTGGTCTTGCCCGTGAAAGGAAGCAGGGTCTCAGACAGAAATCGGGCCAGTTTATAGGTGGATGAGTCAATGGTAGAGGCGATAGGATGGAGCGGGATATCTTCTTTGAGGATCTTTGGAAGGCCATAAAATCTGGGTGGTCTAGCGGCCGAAGATTTTAGAGAGCGCTGCTTGTTTGAATCAATAAGAGAAGTCGAATTAGTGATGATATTGTTGGTTTTTGTAGCTCGGCGGTTGGTGGGATCTCTATTGATTTTGGTATAGCTGCCATCATTAAGAAGGTCCTGAATTTTGTAGTTTTGTTAGTGGTTTTATCCATGATGACAGTGGCATTGCCCTTGTCGGCTGAGAGGATGACAATATCATCTATCTTTTTCAATTGAGCGAGTTCAAAACGTTCATCCTTGCTGATGTTACTAATGGGTTTCTTAGCGTTTTTGAGGATAACAGGGATTTCAGATCTAGCAACGTCTGCCAGGATGTGTCCCAAGCCCTTGAGGGCTACGTCGACCTGGGGAATGATACCATCCACTGGGATGTGTTTCGGGGTGACTGCGAAATTCAACCCTTTAGCTAGTACCGATTTTAGGCTGTCGGAAATTGGGATGTTACTATGATTGATGACAATCATGTTAACAGGAGGTTGAATTTAGCAGTCAAGTTAACTTTACATTTGGTTGACATTGAAGTAGCTGAAGAAATTGTCATGTTATCTACGTGGTCCCAATCAGATGTGGACATTGTATATGTTAATTCTAAGTGTGAATTTAAGAGAATCTTGTCTAAATGATCAAGTTCAAATCGGAGCAATCTTATTCTCTCTGAGATTAGAGCGAGGCTTGGCCCTAAACATGATCCGTTTAGAGTTAGGAGAAGTGCCAGCAGCAGATGTGAGTGTAAAGGCGATTGGTATTACCTTGGTGTCGCAGCATCTCTTCAGAAAGGTGAAAGACTCGATCAGGTGAGCCTTCTTGTCTCGCAGTCTGTTAAAATATCTAATAGTTGTGTCCATCCTACCTGCCTATGTCAGCTGTTATTTCCGACTCCTTGTGTCTCTCTCTCTCTGTGCCTCTCTCGGATCTCTCCCCCGGCGACTCAAGTGCCGCTGCGGGGTCCCACTTTCTGCCCCGCCCCCTCTCTCCCCCCACCTCTTCTCTCACCCTCCTACTGCCGATACCTATATAACCTCGTGCCACGGCAGCTCTCTCGCCTACTTCAGCAGTTTTTTCCTGCTGTAGTTGTCTCACCTGATGACGATTGCTTGTGTTGCGATCGAAACGTCGTGATCTTATTTTTCTACCGACGTGACTTTACCGAAAGAACTAAAGAGTATGGATTCCTGCAGTCAGGAAAGCTTCAAATCACAAATGTAAAACAGGATTTAGCATAAATGCACTTGCACGAATTCTGCAACAGCCGTTTGTCCCCGTAATTTTGTTTTCATTTTATTGGAGAACACTTGCAAGTTAATCAATCCAAGATTTATAACACACCAAAACTACTTCATTCACCATCGGGATTCTTTAACCATCGGGGGGTGGGGTGGGTGCCATCGAGTTTTCAAACAACATCCTCACTAGAGTCGCTTGCTGGCCCTGCCTCTCGCGAGCTCTTCCCGCCTTGTGAAGGTGCCGCACCGGTCACCAGCACAGCGAAGAGTCCACTTCAAGGTCACGTTACTTGCTTTCATATGTACGTAGGTATGTAGAACATCTTTCGCTCCGTACATAGTCAACTGTGTCAACCACCCGACTACTTCAGAGATTGCCACCTATCCATTTGGGCCGCCACTAAAATCTACGTTCATCTGTAGATTAAGAGAGTGGAACGGCACTGTCCAGCAGTCTCTGCCAGCTCACCACATCGCGCGCTTTTGGATGTGGTTCTGTGGCCGTCTGGAACGTTCTTTTTTTCCGATATTAGGAAGCCACTGGAGCTGCGCACTTTTCAATCATCTATTTTTTTGGAAACGGCTCTTTATGTTTCGTGTGTTGTCCTTCACCCGCACCTCTGATTAGCGTTGTTGGCTACGTATGGTGCGAAAGAAGTTCAACGTACATACAAGTCCCGTCAGCCATGACAGTCAGTGCCATTAAGACCAGAAACAAAAACATTTCCCTCCTCTGTTGAGTTTAATTTCGTGTCATCCTCTCTGCGACATCCACACTTCTGTCTCAGCTCTTCACCGAATGTGGTTCACGCGTTACAAATCTTGCACCGATTGATCAAAGAGGGGGTTTGGCCATGATCACTCAGCCGGCACATGTGGGTGAGCGTGGAAACTATATTCACCCTAGCAGAGCCCCTCATAATGCATGGGGCCCACGATCTGACTGATGCAAGTACGATGAAAGTGAAGAACAACCGCCCTAACCCTCACTGGCCCATGAGTCAGATGTCCTCCTATAAGGCCAGAGTTTCATGGTTTGGGTTCGGCTTGGATCGGGAAATAGCCCCAAGTGGAAAGCATTGTTTTGCTTGTTAAAACTGTAACCGCACCTCCGATTAGCACGGTTGGATACGTATAGTGCGAAAGAAGTTCAACGTACATCCTGTACATACATTAGCCACACACATGTGAAGCTCCCTCTACGCCATGACTTTATCAACCATTAACACGATGACAAATGTCACATCTTGCTCTATGCAGGTGTCTGGGTGTTCTTCCCAGAGCGTTCCATTACATCCCTCATCTCTGATTAGCACGGTTGGCTTCGTACGGTGCGAAAGAAGTTCAACATACATTAACACATACGTACAGACGTACATACGTACGTAAAAATACACTTCCCCACCCCTCTTACATTGCGTTTCATATCGGACCAATTTCACGTCCACATTTAAACTCGTTTCAACATTAACACTCGTAAGCCTTGTCTTTCAGTAGGCATCCAGAATGCTTTACGTATTCCCTTGCTCTACATACGAAGTCACGTTTTCGTCCATACGAGTATAATGTCCCAACGTGCAGGCTACGTGGCTATAGGAGGTAGACGAGGACGTTGCTGGGGGAAGCGAGAGTGACGCAGCAAGTGCACGGCCTAGGGTTTTCATTCTCACTTGAACATCGCGGGCCCAGGATTATAATTCTATTAAACTATTTACATTTTACCAAGTAAGGCCCACTGATCTACATATTTCTTTTTCGTAAGCGACCTGGCCACAAATGATAGCTCAACGAAGTGGCTTATCATCACGTATAAATTTACATCAGCTAAATACTCTAAATGCATGATGTTGGTTCTAAATGTGGAGGGAAAAAACGGAGGACCCGAAGAAAAATCCACGCGACCACAGGGAGAGATGCAAACTCCAAATATACAACAGGCGTCAGGGTCGGGATCGTACCCACGACCTGTACACCAGGCGAGATAGTTAACATCTCGCCACCATGGCTTCTTCACAAACTGAATTTTTGCGCTTCCTCAATTTTTTTGTAATTTTTTTTCAGTCCCCGAAGTAGCACCCCAGCACGGTGGTGGACCGAAACGCTGGACATCGCGCCAAATGGCAGAGTGGAGCGGCACGGGCCCCACCGACACGTGAGGCCGGTGCCATGTCCGTCTCCCCCTGCCCCCCCTCCACGCAGCATCTACAGAGAAGTGCCGGCGATCTCCCGGTGTTTGACGAAGCTGCCTGCGTCCTCATATGGGTTGTATGCGCTGTTGTCCGCCTCCATTCCGACAGTGCCGTTTGACTGTCGCCAGAGGAGGCGTCTTCTTGAATTTGCGCTTGTAAATCTGATAGACTGGGACACGTGCACACGCCACGAAATGTTCACTGTGATTACAGGCCCGCACATATATCGCTAGACTCACACTGATACCCATAGACTCACACAGATACTCAGAGATTCACACAGATACCCCTAAACTCACGCTGATACCCATAGACTCACAGAAAAACCCAGAGACGCACACTGATACCTATAGACTCACAGATACCCAGAGACTCACACAGATACCTATAGATTCACACAGACACTCAGAGACTCACACAGATACCCCTCGATTCACACTGATATCCAGCGACACACACAGATACCCAGAGACTCACACAGGTACCAAGAGACTCAGATTTATAAACCCCATAGACTCACACATATACCCATGGACTCACACAGATACCCAGAGACTCACAAAGGTTTCCATAGACTCACACAGATACCAAGAGACTCAGATTTATAAACCCCATAGACTCACACATATACCCATGGACTCACACAGATACCCATAGACTCACACTGATACCCATACACTCACACAGGATTCCATAGACTCACACAGATACCCATAGACTCAAACTGATGCCCAGAGACTCACACAGATACCCATAGACTCACACAGATACCCATAGACTCACACAGATACCCATAGACTCAAACTGATGCCCAGAGACTCACACAGATACCCATAGACTCACACAGATACCCATAGACTCAAACTGATGCCCAGAGACTCACACAGATACCCATAGACTCACACAGATACCCATAGACTCAAACTGATGCCCAGAGACTCACACAGATACCCATAGACTCACACAGATACCCATATACTCACACAGATACCCATAGACTCACACAGATACCCGTAGACTCACACAGATACCCATAGACTCAAACTGATGCCCAGAGACTCACACAGATACCCAGAGACTCACTCACATAGATGCCCACAGAGTCACGTGGACTAGAAGCAGCCAAACACTCATTATTGGAATCGCTCCAACGTTCCACTGTAGCGGGGCCCTTCTGTGGCTTTCCCGGGTACACGAGTCAATGTTGTTTTTGATGTTGTTGCAACGCACTCGCCACGAAGATGATGGCGGTGGCCATCTGGAAGGTGCTGTAGATGAGCGGGAATGTGAACATGCGCACGAGCTGCTCGGGAGTGAAGGACAGCTGGACGATGGTGGTGCACAGCTGGCTGTTCTGGGCCCCGGTCTCCATGGCGATCGTGCGGCACCTGTCGCACAAAGACACCACGCGATTGGAGACACGCCACCGCCGTTGTCAATCCACTGCTGGATGAAGCGACGGTCCCCCACACACTGCATGCAAGTTGATCTCATCGCTCCCTATCTCGGACGTGTTCTGTCCCTGGGCTGCCACTCCGTGGTTGTTCCCGACCGTCACTCACCATCCCTTCTGGTCGCGACGCGTTCTGGCCAAGCCCTCCTAGTGCCAGCGATGCCATCGGCCTGCCTGTGTATGTGTACATACGTTGAACTTCTTTCACCCCGTACGTGCTATTCGGAGGTGTGATGTGTGATCCGTGGTTTGCGTGGACTAGTACTGTGAGCCCCTTTTTGTGTTGTGTTGCTGTGCTTCTCCTGTGCCTCGGATCAGCACAGTTGGCTACGTACAGTGAGAAAGAAGTTCTACATACATACATACGTAATATATATGTCTATGCCCCCTAATGCTAGTCTCCCAATAAGCTCTGAATATGAATACTCGCGGTCTTAATATTCGCGCCATTCTCCAGAACGCATGTCCCGCGCATATTATGGGTCCAATGTACAAGGCACACCTATACGTAATAATGCCAAATATTAACCCGTGGGTGTCCGCAGTAAACATGATTACGTAAAATAGATTTTAGGTTAGGCCACAGAATGCTCCACTGCCCGATATCGCCAATCTGGCTGCGTCGGGTGGTGGAGGGTTTACACGACAAATATTTGGCCACACAATTACGTGGCCAAACCCAAAAACGAATTCTGAATCTCGTACACGACCGTGCCCTGTATCCCCATAGTCCTATGACCAAAAAATAGGACCTTTTTGCCAGTATCAAAGTATGCATGTTCACCACAAGTACGTTGTGTGGTTAATGCAGGCATGATTCCTTGCAAGAGGTTTCCCTTTGGTGTTTGAACATCTTAACACCTCCTGTTATATTGCCAGAAAGGCTAAAACCTATTCCTGTGACCAGGTTCGTAAAAAAAGTGAGGACTAGATAGCACGGTTTGCTATGCATGGTGCAAAAGAAAATCAACGTACATACATAGATAAGGCGAGGAGGATGCAACGCACCAGAAAATCATTCCTTGCGGAGACATTCTGGACAGTCCCAAACGTTGGCCAAACATTCCAGTGGAGCAGGACCCTGCTGAAAAAGAGTCTTCAGACTCTATGTGACCCATGGACGCACATAAAGACAAATAAACTCATACAGAGACCCACAAACTCATACAGAGACCCACAGACTCACAGATAGACCCATATGAGTCACATAGAGACCCACATACTTATATAGGGACCATTAGACTCACATAGAGACTCATAGAAGTCATATAGAGACCCATAGACTCCCATGGAGACCCAAGACTCACATAGAGACCCATAGACTCACATAAAGACCCACAGATTCAGACAGAGACCCACAGACTCACATAGAGACCCATAGACTCGCATATATGAATCACACAGAGACCAACAGACTCACACAGAGAACCATAAGATGTAGACTTGCAAGAAGCCAAGCACTCTTGTCTAGGCAGCGGCTAAAGTTCCCACTGTGGCAGCAACCTCCCGAACACGAGTCTTCGGACTCAGTGCGGCCTTTCCAGGAAGACAATTCGATGTGTCTGGTGGAGCGCCACGCACACCTCTGCCAGGGCTGGTTGACGAGCTTGGCGAGGCCGAAGCCGAGCACGTAGCCGATGATGGGGAAGATGAAGCCGATGATCCACATGGTGGGTTCGGTGTCCCAGGCCCCCTGGTAGAGCAGCGCCCCGGCCACGGAGATGGCGACGATGAGGATGCCCCCGACTGCGGAGCCGATCTGCGCATCGGCGAGGAGAAGGAGGTGAAGCGTTAACGGGAGAAAGTTAATATAGAATTTTTGAGGTTCGATTGCATAAATCTAAATGTGTCGTTAAACCAGCCACCACCCAACACAGCCAATTAGTAAGGTTTGTCACGTAAACAAAACATGCTAATTCGTTACTAGTACAGCATAGCGGTGTGTTGGAGACCAAAGCCACAACATTTACCATCTATGTATGACGTTTCGCCATAATTACAACTAGCTTCATCAGGCGCACAGCCAGATTTGTGGAAAAATTCTCCTGTTTCATTCCTTATGCAGTGGGTTCCAGGGAGACCAGAGACGATGCGCTTGAGGCACACGTTTATTCAATACAACTGCAGGATACACGGATCCCTAACACAGAGTGGTAGCGGCCCCTCTACCCAATGCCCAAGGAGGTACAGCCTCCGGGCTAGCGTGTCCTAACCACTGAGACTACACTCACGTTCCTCCGGCTAAGGGGACCTAGGGGGAAGCTATCTGACCCGACCCAGCCAAGGTCCTCGGGTCCCGACCACTGGCCCACTCGGTCCCGGCCCTTAGAAGGACGTCGGGTCTGGGGGTTCCCAGGGTCCTAAGTGTGCATAACAATGCTGTATACAATGCCTGACACCGACGCTACACTTAAATAGAGGGGTAGATGTGATGGCATCATTTGTGAGCCCTTCTTGTGCGAAGGGGGGGGGGGGGGGTTAATAAATGCATATAAATTACAATGGATAGCCATTGCCGGTTCGGTTGTTCATATGGTAATAAACGTACATTATGCATGCACATTGTTCTGGATGATATTGGTCGCGAAAGCCTACGTGTTAAACGGGGGGAAAGTTGAAACTATCGTCATCATCGTCATCACGATCCAGGGGCAGGTACCCCGTAGGTGTCCACTGCACATTTCATAATTTGTTTCCACTTTCCTCTGTCTTGTACCAATAAGCTCAAGTAGTGCCACGTATGTGTTGAAGCTATAAAACTATACTATAAACTAATTGTATGTTTTACCAGGGAAGGCCCACTGAGCTGCATAACTATTTTGCAGAATGATAGCTCAACGAAGTGGCTTATCATCATATGGATTTTTAATTAAATAATACATACGCTGCAACGATGAATATCACTACTGCGATATAGAAGCAGTTTCAAAAAGTCAGAGTTGTTTCCTGCTGCTCAAATGAGCATTGTGGAATTGGTGCTTATCTTCTGTAAACAACTCTGAGCCAGTGGTAGCAAGTTCACATTCCTATGGCGGGGGAAAGACTGTCCATAGGACAACCACTGTGACCTTCCCCACAGAGTGGTTGGAGATAGTTAATATCTCGCCACCGGGGCACCCGTAGACTCGCACAGAGTTGATACCGGGCAATGCTTGCACCTCACAGCAAGAAGGGCCTGGTTTCAATTCCCAACTCGAGCGCCATTCTGCGTGCGGTTTTTATGTTCTCCCCTCGTTCTGCATGGGTTTCAATGTAGAAGCGTAACCGGTGTTGACCAAACATCGCAATGCTGAAAAAATACAGTTGCTGCAAATTATTAAATTTGGATCACGCAGCAGCAGCAACATTTCCCGCTACCACGAACACAACGAATCTTGAGACTCAGTGAGGCTTTCGTGGATAAACACATTTTACTTAAAATAATAACTTAAGCGGCAGTATGAGACATCTCCTTTACCAGTGGCAAAATATAGTAGTAGGTTTTTACCCTTTCAACTGGTACAAAAACTGACACCTTTATGCAAGGCATCATGTTTGCAACCACAACACAAGCAGTCCAAATGCAAACAAAAAGAAACAACTCTGATGATGATGATAATGATATGCACTGCCCTTGAAGTTGATTGGTCTACACCCGAGACAGCTTTTCTTAGAGCCTAGTCTCCATTGGTGTTGGACCAGATGACGCCAAAAGGCGTACAACTCAAAGGCGTCATCTGGTCCAACACCAATAGAGACTCGGCTCTAAGAAAAGCTGTCTCGGGTGTGGACCAATCAACTTCAAGGGCAGTGCATATCATTATCATCATCATCAGAGTTGTTTCTTTTTGTTTGCATTTTGACTGCTTGTGTTGTGGTTATTGCAAACATGATGCCTTGTATAAAGGTGTCAGTTTTTGTACCAGTTGAAAGGGTAAAACCCTACTACTATATTAAGCGGCAGTGTTCTTTTTATAAACCGGATTAGTGACGCCAGCATTCATTAACGGAGCGATTTGTTTTTAGCAGGCTGCGACCACGAGCTGCCCCCACGGCCAGGACTCGCGCGGCCACCGTCACTCTGGCGGGCTCTGGCTGAGGCGAGGCCAACGCCTCTGAGTGGAGACTCAGGCCAAGAGAGGTCAGCAACGGTCACGGCAACAGTCACGACGAGTCACGTTATCGTCAGAGGCTGCGGTGCCCTGAGGGAGATAAACACGGCGGCGAGTGGCCATGTACACACAACCGTATGTACACAATGTGTACACTCTGTATGTGCACACCGCGCATGCTGTGTACACACAGCGTATGCCGTGTGGCCTATACAGCCGCGTGTCTAGCTTAGCCAGCATTCTTTATATGAGAATTCGCTATCGTGGGCAATTTGAGATGAGACTAATTTGTTCGCTAAGCGAGCAAAATGTTCACTTAGCGAGCTGAGACCAATCGATCGAATGCATCCCGTGGTGGTAGGGGGTGCACGGTGGCAGAGAACAATTTTTTTTTATCTCCAATAATGGCAGAGCTACTGATTCGCTCGAAACACCTGGGACTCAAGGCATCACCTGCAGGCGTCTATCACGGGTCTAACTCGAGACCAGACACCTCCACAATGCCCCTTGGTTATCCCTTGAGAGGGCGACCTCACCCGTGTGGGCCACGTGTCTTCGGGCCACATGGGGGCCACGTCATGAGGCCCATCGGAAAGACACTTACCATGCAGGCCACGTTTTGGGCGTAAGCCTTTGCCAAATTTCTTTGAAATTAGTGCTTACAAAAATCTCTGCCAGACTTTTCATAGCTCAGTGATTAACTTGATTGATGATTACCCCTGATGCTAAATACGGCTGAGAGCATAAGCATATATTTTTTATAACATAAAATTTGTGGAATGATTAAAACAGGTTAACAATAATACAATATACTGTACATCATGAATATAAAATACAATAAATAATGTGTGTATATAAAACAATCTATTGTGTGTGTATATATAATAATATCGTGTGTGTGTGTATATATGGCAAAATGAGGCCTGCCTGTGTCGTGACGGGTGCTGCAAGATCCCACCATGGCCATCCGGTGCTCGCTGAGCTGCATTGGCTTCAGTTGCCGAACTAATACATTGTAAGGTCGCTCTAATTACACATAAAGTGTTTGCCACAAATGAATCACAATACCTTGATGATCTCGTCAAGGAACATAAACCACCATCATGCGAACTCCGGGCATTCTCGCAGCGGCGGCTTTTGGCTGGCCATCCAACAAAGACGGTGATCACCACATTGCACGCTTTCAGGTGCGCTTCTGGAACGCTCTTCCTTTCAATGTTAGGAGGCCACTGAAGCTATGCACTTTGAAATCTAGATTGAAAACTCATTTCTTTAGTTTTGCTTTTTGTGTTTAGTTTGTTGTCCTTCCCCTGTACCTCCGATTAGCGCAAGTTGGCTATGTACGGCGTAAAATAAGTTCAACACACGTACATACATATAACATACGTAGGAACAATTGTAAAACATTACCTTGACTAAGATTTTCGCTTTTTTGGGCCACTTGTACTGCACGAACATCCCAAAAGCCACGGGCACAACCAGCGAGACGAGGGTGATGCCTACAGAGCAGCGGCAGCGGCAACAGCAGTGGCATCAGTGGGCACGGCATGGCATGCGCGGGCCGCGTACACACACAGAGAGAGAGAACTGGACATTGAGGTATCTCATCGCATGATGAGCTACTTTGTGGCCAGGTCATTTATGAAAAAAAAGTTAATAGCTCAGTGGGCTTTACCTGGTAAAATAAAAAAAAGTTTACTTTTATTTGAAATAGTTTTAATTGATTTGCTTATCTTCTTATAATTTGGACTCGTATCGTTTGTTTTTATTGTATGTTGTTATGAAGTTCTGACCTGCCCCTGCTGGACATTTGTGAAAAAGAGCTTTTAGCTCATCGGTTTCTTTGAGTATAAATGCATATTCTGATTCTGACCTGCATAGCATCCTACAATTGCTCTTGCAAATAGATTCACAGTGCAGAACTCCTCTTTATCCATGATCCTATTATCCATGGACGCTGTAGGGTTCAAGTAAAAAATAAGAATAGGCTTTACCCTTTCTGGAAATAAAGCAGGAGGTGTGAAGATGTTCAAACACTAAACAGATACCTTTTACACGGCATCAATTCTGCATTAACTACACGTACTTGTGGCAAAAACTTGCAAACAATCATTATCTGATCATATATGCATTGTCTTTGAAACACCTGTGTTATTGCCAGAAAGGGTAAAACCTATTCTTATTTTTCAATCTTCTTGGTAGTCGCAAAAATGTCCTACATATGTAACTGCTCATCCCAATCTATTAATACTTTGATCCTTGCATCTGTGGATTTTTCCTGTCCCTGTTTGTGGGACGGCTTCCAATTATCAGTAAATGCCAAAACGAAAGAAAGGAATTGCCTGGGACATGCATCCTATTATTCGCGAGGTTTTACGCGCCAAAATCGATTTGCTGTTGTGAAACAAATGCAAATATGGCTGTGCGCCGAGGCGGATTGATTGACGCGCAGTGCAAGATGCACTGAAACACAACATGTATGTTGAACTTCTTTCACACCATACGTAGCCAACCGTGCTAATCAGAGGGGCAAAATACCATCGGACACAATATCATTGGACATCCGATGAAATCACCGATCAGTGTTCCGCAATCTGCTCATGTATGGAAAAAAGTAAAAAATAAGCTACAGTACTTTATTTTACCAGGTAAGGCCCACTAAGCTATATATCCCTTTTTCATATGCGACCTGACCACAAATGAAGTGGCTTATCGCATGGAAATGTATAGCAGCCAAATACTCCAAATAAAGCAAGCGTATCATTTCCCGTAGTGGCGTGTCTCTGCCCATATATGGTCTTGTGAATCCCGAATCGAGGTATAAACCATCTGGCACGTGGGCATGGGGAGAGAGTGTTGCCCCCTCGCACGCGTTGTTTTTTACCTTTCCTATACTTTGCACTCCGATCGTGTTTGTGTATTGTTTGTTGTTTTAACGTTCTGACCCCTGAGCCCCGACTGGAACGTCTGTGAAAAAGAGCTTCATAGCTCATCGGATTCCTCCAGTTCAAAATAAATATTCTCATTATGATGTTTATAATTGAAAAATCGAGGACTTCAGAAGGGGCCCCTGGGGAGACTTGCTGCCGTCAGTTTGGCAGTTTTGGCGCACCGATGCTGTCGTAGGGGATGGCGATGCTGGCCGAGTCCGTCCACGTCTGGGTGTAGATGAAGAGGCAGAGCGGCATCATCCCCATGCCCAGCAGCGTGGAACACACGGTCATGCTGATGCTGCACACACATACACGTGAAGCGTATAGCACACGGCAATTTTTACATTGGTGATCTTGTCAAGGAGCATAAACCATCATCACGCGAACTCCAGTCATCCTCGCAGCAGCGGCTTTTGGCTGGCCATCGAATAAAGGCGGTGGTTCCCACATCGCGCGCTTTAAGATGCGCTTCTGCGGCCGGCTGGAACGCTCTTCCTTCCGATATTAGATTGAAAACTCATTTCTTTAGTTTGTTGTCCTTCCCCCGCACCTCCGATTACCGCTGTTGGCTATGTACGGTGCAAATGAAATTCTACACGTACAGTAGGGGGACTGCGGAGCGACGCCGTGTATGTACAGTATGCATGTTAAAACTTCTTTCGCACCGTACGTAGCCAACCACGCTGATCGGAGATGACGCGGGATCGGCTGCGCTCTGCGCAGGTGGAGCACGCGGGCAGTGGTGGGGGGGGGGGGGCTCCCCACGTGGCTGTCTGTAATCCTACACCATGAGATAGCAGCAACAGCAGCGGCGGGGTGGGTGGATCACTGCACACAGATATGGGCTGTGAAACTCCCTCCCCGTGGGCGTCGAGGAGGTTGCTATACACTTGCTCGCCAGGAGACGGCGGTATACAGCAAAGTGCGGATTTATATCACGTGCTGGAGATTGGTGCCAGATAGATGTGCAGACGAAAGTGGACATGTGCAGTGGACACCTACGGGCTATCTGCCCCAGGATCGTGATGATGTAGCATCGGCACGGGATCAAGTGTTGCCCCCTCGCACGCATCGGCTTTCTCCGGTGTGCGACAGTTTCCTCTCCCACGCATATAAACACACCGCACCAGGTACTCGTTTGAGGCTGGGTCGAGCGAGGGGAAGAGGCCCAGGACCGGTTCAGATAAATCGTCACCGGTGTTGGCCGTGAGCGGGAATCTAACCCGGGTAGCCGGGTCCGTAGCGCAGGAAGCAAACCGCTACACTACCGCTCCCCACTGCAATGTGCGCACACAGCGTCTCATCAGCGGTGCCAGGCTTGCCTGAACCATTGCTGGCGAACCGCTGATCCTCCAGCCAGGGAACCCCCGCTTCTGAGTGCGCGCCGCCACTGCCAATGGTTGAATTGACCAGCGGGGCAGTGGGGCAGCGGAGTGAAGGTCACGGGAGCGATTTACAACGCAGACGGAACAACGTCTGCAACGGCCCGGACGACGTTGAAGCGAGAGAGGGGATGTCTACAGAGACTGAACTCGCGAAAGGCTGACAAGAAGGATTACAAGAAATATGTTTAAGCCGGAGGCCGCAGGTACAAACTGCACAGTGAGACGGGCAGAGGAACACTCGAGGCACAGAACGCGCCTCCTCTTATCACGGTTAGCTACGTACAGTGAGGAAAAAAAGTATTTGATCCCTGCTGATTTTGTACGTTTGTCCACTGACAAAGAAATGATCAGTCTATAATTTTAATGGTAGGTTTATTTGAACAGTGAGAGACAGAATAACAACAAAATCCATAAAAACGCATGTCAAAAATTTTATAAATTGATTTTCATTTTAATGATGGAAATAAGTATTTGACCCCTCTGCAAATCATGACTTAGTACTTGGTGGCAAAACCCTTGTTGGCAATCACAGAGGTCAGACGTTTCTTGTAGTTGGCCACCAGGTTTGCACACATCTCAGGAGGGATTTTGTCCCACTCCTCTTTGTAGATCTTCTCCAAGTGATTAAGGTTTCGAGGCTGACGTTTGGCAACTCGAACCTTCAGCTCCCTCCACAGATTTTCTATGGGATTAAGGTCTGGAGACTGGCTAGGCCACTCCAGGACCTTAATGTGCTTCTTCTTGAGCCACTCCTTTGTTGCCTTGGCCGTGTATTTTGGGTTATTGTCAAGCTGGAATACCCATCCACGACCCATTTTCAATGCCCTGACTGAGGGAAGGAGGTTCTCACCCAAGCTTTGACGGTACATGACCCCGCCCATCGTCCCTTTGATGCGGTGAAGTTGGCCTGTCCCCTTAGCAGAAAAACACCCCCAAAGCATAATGTTTCCACCTCCATGTTTGACGGTGGGGATAGTGTTCTTGGGGTCATTGGCAGCATTCCTCCTCCTCCAAACACGGCGAGTTGAGTTGATGCCAAAGAGCTCCATTTTGATCTCATCTGACCACAACACTTTCACCCAGTTGTCCTCTGAATCATTCAGATGTTCATTAGCAAACTTCAGACGGGCATGTATATGTGCTTTCTTGAGCAGGGGGACCTTGCGGGTGCTGCAGGATTTCAGTCCTTCACGGCGTAGTATGTTACCAACTGTTTTCTTTGTGACTATGGTCCCAGCTGCCTTGAGATCATTGACAAGATCCTTCTGTGTAGTTCTGGGCGAATTCCTCACCGTTTTCATGATCATTGCAACTCCATGAGGTGAGATCTTGCATGGAGCCCCAGGCCGAGGGAGATTGACAGTTATTTTGTGTTTCTTCCATTTGCGAATAATCGCACCAACTGTTGTCACCTTCTCCCCAAGCTGCTTAGCGATAGTCTTGTAGCCCATTCCAGCCTTGTGTAGGTCTACAATCTTGTCCCTGACATCCTTGGCGAGCTCTTTGGTCTTGGCCATGGTGGAGAGTTTGGAATCTGATTGATTGATTTCTTCTGTGAACAGGTGTCTTTTATACAGGTAACAAGCTGAGATTTGGAGCACTCCCTCTAAGAGTGTGCTCCTAATCTCAGCTCGTTACCTGTATAAAAGACACATGGGAGCCAGAAATCTTTCTGATTGAGAGGGGGTCAAATACTTATTTCCCTCATTAGAATGCAAATAAATTTATAACATTTTTGACATGCGTTTTTCTGTATTTTGTTGTTATTCTGTCTCTCACTGTTCAAATAAACCTACCATTACAATTATAGACTGATCATTTTTTTTGTCAGTGGGCAAACGTACAAAATCAGCAGGGGATCAAATACTTTTTCCCCTCACTGTACGGTGTGAAAGAAGTTCAACATATAACGCACACGGGTTGGAGACATCGCATTGACTGCTAGGAGGAGCCGAGTGGGCATGGGTAGCACGGGCCACGGCTACACCGCGCGATGGCCGATGGTCAAGGGTCATAACGGAGCGACAGCCAAGGAATGGACATCCCCCTGTGGAGATAGAGCGATGAAATCGGCCGCTCGGCGTGCAGGGCCTCGGTGGATTGTTACATGGCGGGATCGTGAGGGAGACTTACATCCAGCAGTGGATAGAACCTCGGCTGACGATGTCTAATACCTGCGAATCCATGTAAATAAATGTACTGTGGATATCAATCAAACGCGAAGCTCGGCGTGAAACGACTTCAATGTAAATTCTGTAAAATAGTTTTTAAAAACGATGCTGAGACTGTAAAAGCATTATCTAAAGTTAAGGTTAAAATTTGTTTACGGGGAGCGACACGTCGCTGCGCTGGTAAACAAAAAATAAAACCACAACGTGAAGATCTCGCTAAAGCAGACGCCGTAAAAATGAGTTAAATGCAATTTAAAGCTTTCGTGACTGCAGGGATTCATCTTCTTGGTTCTTTCGGTAAAGTCACGTAGAAGGGAAGTAATAAAATAATAAAAATAAAACATAATAAAACAATTCTCACGACGTTTCGGCCACAACGCAAGCAGCCGTCCTCAGGTGAAGAATGAGACAATGCCAAGCTAGGAGCTTATATATACCTCCAACGCAGCTTATATATAAGTTCCTAGCTTGGCATTGTCTCATTCTTCACCTGAGGACGGCTGCTTGCGTTGTGGCCGAAACGTCGTGAGAATTGTTTTATTATGTTTTATTTTTATTATTTTATTACTTCCCTTCTACGTGACTTTACCGAAAGAACCAAGAAGATGAGTTAAATGCAGTTTAATTAATGAGTCAACGTACATGATGCACGCGCATTGTGCGAGCCCTTTGATCTTGTCCTTGAAATGCAGTGGAACATCCATCACGTTTAAATTATCAAGATTAAAAACTCACTTCTTAGTACCACTTTTTGCGTTTAATTTGTTGTCCTTCCGCCGCAAGCTCCGATTAGCGCGGTTGGCTACGTACGGTGGAAAATAAGTTCAACACACATACTTACATAGGACTTACACAGAGACCCATAGACTTACATAGAGGCGCATAGACTCACGCAGAGACCCATAGACTGACGCAGAGACCCATAGACTTACATAGAGACCCATAGACTCACGCAGAGACCCATATAGGTTGTGACCCTTCCTCTCCACCTCCGATTAGCATGGTTTGCTCCGTACGGTGCGAGAGAAGTTCAACACGCACACATCACTGAAGCCCAGCAGGGGCGAGGGGATGACACCGATCGCTCGCGATGTGAACGAGAATCTCCGCCGCGTGACTGCAAGCGGCGCAGGAAGCGGCGCTGCTGCGAATTGGAAGGGCGCGATTGTAAATCCGGGCTGGGACTTCACTCATCCCATCACTCCTCCGGGAGTCGATAAAGTGAAGTGCCACTTTGTGGGAAGGTTAATGGTGGTCGTCTTTTAGATAAACTCGCCCCGCCATATGAATGTAAACGGGAGATGAGCATAAACTGCTCAATGACATTTGAGCAGAAGGAAATAACTACAGTATTGTTATACTCATTTACATAATCGTACACGGTGATGTAGGTATGACGACGCCCGTGTGGGCCCGCGCTCAGCTAGGCCCTGCACTGGAACGTCTTTCCACGGTGCTACGGTGTGCTCCGTGTTGGAGGAGCCCAAGGCCAATGAGACGCGCGTCTTCTTTTCATTTTATACGGCTTCTGATGTCGATTTAGAGCAACAACGAGAATCTCACTTTCAGGTCGTGAAGCCATACAATCGCGTCAGGAGCAGCAGAGTGTTTCGCTGTGATGTCTCTTGCATATTTGTGGATCGGGCATTGCGTCGTTACATGTTATATGGTCTGTCCTGGTAGACCACAGGAGCACACTGCTGGATAGTTTTACATTTTCAATTTGTGCATTATCAGATCGCACTCATTACACACAAAGCGCCTTCCACAAATCAACCGTGCTGATCTCGTCAAGGAACATGAACCATCACGCCAACTCCGGTCATCCTCGCAGCTGCTTTTGGCTCGCCATCGAATAAAGACGGTCACCACATCGCGCACTTTCAAATGCGTTTCTGCGGCAGTCTGGAGCTATGCACTTTTAAATAATCTAGATTGAAAACTAAAATGTATTTAAAACATATTTTTTGTTGTGTTTAGTTTGTTGTCCTTCCCCCAAACCTCCGATTAGCACGGTTGCGAAAGAAGTTCTACACACGCACAGGTATCCGCATCTGCTATGGTGTCGTGACTGGCGGGGGCTGACAGCGGCCTGGCTTGAGACTTGCACGGGGCGCTGTTCCCACTGAGCTGAAGCCAGCAGAGCTATGACACTTGTTTTTCCAGACACGACCTGGCCACAAATGATAGCTCAACAAAGTGGCTTATCGTGTGGACATTTATAGCAGCAAAATAATGTCTGGGCAATATCTTATTATACAAGCCCGACATTTCTCCATTAACTAAATTATAAGAGCCTTTCAGAAAGTCTGAATCTAAAAGTTATAGAAAATGGGACCCTCCCCCCCCCCCCCCCCCCAGATGTGGGGGTAAAAAGTTGATCCACCAGGTTTACAACAATTGTCGACCCCCCCATTTTGTATTTATTTTGTAGGCATATATGCCTACACACCCTACATACAATAGAGTCAGTAGTATCTGTACACATTGGGGGGGGGGAGGACATCAGTGGGATTGACGGGCGAGGTGCGAGGCGTTGAGAATCCCTCCACAAGACCGATAAAACTCTGGTGAACTCCCAATGCTTCATGAACATACTCCAGATGCCCACAACATGCTGATAACCAAGTAGCATAGTATTTGTTTCACAAGCCGCACACTGTTGATGAGACACACATGGTGGAAACCAGTCCACAGGGTATCTTGTTCTGAATACGCGCGCTGCAGAGAACCCGCAGGTGACGTGGATCCGTGTGTGCTATCGCGCCGCGTGTTTGCGGGTTCAACCGCTTGGTGTTCGGCGTGGTGTCCGATGTTTCACTCCACGTACCGTGAGCTTGTTTATCGTCTGTAATGCTCCATCTAAATCAGCGCAATGAAATCAGAGGCGGATCTGGGATCTTTCCAGACTTTATAAATAGGGCTCTACGTTCATAACAATGCGTGCAGTATATTGCATACCTCCCACGCATTTCACAATTAGCACTATTCGCATTCCTGCATTTTCCATGAATATGCTAAATTCCTCTTCAAATGCAAATTATTTTGTCAAGGCTCTCTTCCTCCTCCCTCACAGCTTAAATAGACACTCCAAGTCTAAGACGTGTCATTTAGACTCTGTCTTATCGACAGACCTGTTCTTCACCTGAGGACGGCTGCTTGCGTTGTGGCCGAAACGTCGTGAGAATTATTTTATTATGTTTTATTTTTATTATTTTATTACTTCCCTTCTACGTGACTTTACCGAAAGAACCAAGAAGATATTGCATACTTGTTAACCCCTTATCAGTGCCTACCTTATTATACCAATTCAGACTTTATTGATAACCCCGTGGCCTTGTAAATCTCAATGTTAATCCTACAAAGTCATATCACAAGGGAGAAACACAAACAAATAGACAAAAATAGTGCTGCTCGTATTGAATCGGCCGTATGGACCTGAAAACTAAATTTCTCTGTACAAGAATACGGGTAAACCGTATGGATTAACAGGTATGGTGTATTGTGTGTGGTGAATATAAATTATTATTTTTAAAGCAAGCTTAGGCCGCTAGCAGAGGGCCTTCCTGCAGCAGTGGATTGACTGAGAAGATGGATTCTGGCTCAGCAATCATTGGAAGGACGTAATCAACCATTTCGGGTCTTAACTGATTGTGTTCACGTTTACGGTGACTTTCAGACCGCAGTCCACTCACTGGCATTGACTATATATCTTTTGTATAATCCGCAGGGAATGGAGTGTTTGCTCCGCTGCAAGTCTCCTTCCACCACTCTCCCATTGACATATATCATTGCTTCCTCTTAGTACCTTTCACGCGACGGTCAATGGTATAGTGTATAGCAGATTGTATAATAATAAATAGTTTAAAAGTGTAATGTTTAATATAATGTATAAGGTAATATATAGTATCGTAATTGTATACTGAATATACAGCAGTGTGGTATACAGTAGGGTGGGTAGAATAATACATAGTGTAATATTACAATGTATAGTCTAAGGTATAGGGTGGTGTATAGTAATGCAGTGTATAATTTAATGTTGGGTTTGTCTATGGCAGTATTTAGTACGGGGTAGATCCGTGTGATGTAAGAAAAAAGTTTACCTGGTGGCATATTATATTTTTTGCGACATAGAATTGTAATGTATGACTTACTGTTAGTAGCTCAGCTTATTGGAGAGTATATTGAATATATTGATGATATTGATGTAGTATATATTTTAGTTTTTTACGTGGTGGTTTGGCTGCTGCAGCTCCTTACTATTAAAATCCCTTCCCTTTATTACTGCTAATCCTACTTCCTCCCTTTATTACTGCTAATCCTACATAATACACGAGCATAATATGACTTTGAGATCCCCACTAGTAGTGACTAATCCCATATCTGCATTTTCCATAAATATGCTAAATTCATCTGTTGATATGCAAATTCATTTGTCAAGGCGCCCTCCTCCTCTAACCCAGCTTAAATATATGCTGCCAAGCTTGGTGGTGTTCATTCAGACGCTGTCTTTCCGACAGACCTGTTCTTCACCTGAGGACGGCTGCTTGCGTTGTGGCCGAAACGTCGTGAGAATTGTATTTTATTTATTTTTATTTTTATTATTTTATTATTTCCCTTCTACGTGACTTTACCGAAAGAACCAAGAAGATGAATCCCTGCAGTCACGAAAGCTTTAAAAGAAAACAACCGCTTATAGAGACGGATACCAATACCGTGTCACCACATATGGTTTACCCTGTATTCTTGTACAGGAAAATTTAGTTTTCAGGTCCATACGGCGTACATCCGTTTCAATACGGGCCAAATGTGTTTTTGTCTGTTTGTGTCTCTCCCTTATGGGACTTTGTAGGATGAACGTTGGGATGTATGAGCGCACGGGGTGGCCAATAGGGTCTGAATAGGTCTGTAAGGAGGTAGGCACTGATAAGGGGTTGCCAGGTGTGGGATACGCGAAAAAAAATTAAATGTGGTTTTCACTCGATCTCTAAAACTCTCGACTGACGATGAGTCCATAACGACTACTGAAAGCTCTGCCACCCATTGAACACAGTTTTGTCCTTGGTACCACTCAGGGTACCCGGACTTGGTGGATCGAATTTGCCGGACAGGGTCAGCATACGGCTTCAGCAGTTCACCCAGATGTAATGGAGCTACGATCCCTTTTCAGGGCCTTGAAGGCCAAGACAAGAACTTTAAATTCGATCCTCGAGTTCACTGGAAGCCAAAGCAGGGAACGACATAAATGTGTGATGTGCTTGAATTCCCCCACTCAACGGGGAGCTGCGCAGCCTCACGGACACTCGGGAGTGCGCATCATCGCGGACGCACGCACCTGAGGTCCATGTCCCCGTCCAGCCAGTAGGTGATGATGTTGGAGGTCGTTCCGCCGGGGCAGCAGCCCATGATGAGCACGGCGATGGCCTGAATGGGCTCGATCTTGAAGGCTATGGCGAGCGCGAAGGCCGTGAGGGGCATGAAGCCGAACTGGCACACGAACCCGATGATGATCCCCCACGGATTGCGAAGGTGAACAATCACCTTGTGAATCTGCACCGTGCAGCCCATGGCGAACATCACCAGCGCCAGCATGAGCGTGAGCACGATGCTCAGTGTGAAGTTGAGCACTTTGTTGTTGCTTTCCACGGGCTCCAGGCATGACGTGCCCTCGCACAGCGTCGCGTTGGAGTCGCACGCCGACACGTTCCACGTCGCGGAGTAGCGGAGCATGACGGTGGAGTAGAACGCGGGCTCGAAGTCTTCGTACGGCATTTTGGCTGCTGCTCACCGCTCACGGGAGGCCGCGCTCGCCGCTGCCTAATAAGCCGTGGCCCCTTATAGTCGGGGCTCGGAGCTGTAAATGCCCCCCCCCGGTCCTCCTCCTCCCCCCTCTCGTGCGCAAATGTTTAACGCGAACATTAAGTGGCGCACTTTACGGGGAGCAGGGCAGGTCGCGTGAGCCGACATTCTTGAGAAAGCAACGCCACTAATGAGGTGATGTTGAGGCTCTTCGACTCCAGCAAACCGAAGACAATGTGAATTACAGACCTGTCAACCCAGACGGGTTCCCCGTATCCTTGTACCGGTAAATAGAGGTCTCGGGTCCATACGGCGTACAGACGTTTCAATACGGGCAAAAAACACGTTGAGTCTATTTGTTTGTGTCCCTTGTGATGGGACTTTGTTGGATGAATGTTGAGATTTATAAGGGCACGAGGTGACCAATGAGGTCTGAATTAGAGTGTAATAAGGTAGGGGCACTGATAAGGGATTGACAGGTATGGTACGGTATGGAATTTGGCTGTAGATTGTCAATGTTGTGGCTTGGCTCTCCAACACACCGGTGTGCTGTACTAGTAAAGAATTGGCACGTTCTCTTAATGTGACAATCCTTACTAGTTGGCTGTGTCGGGTGTTGGCGGGTTTAAGTACACATTTATATATTTAAGCGATCCAACCCACCAAATAAAACTGTATCGAGGTATGGAATTAATTGAGTATTCAAATGTCTCTGATCGTGAAGACGGCGGCTACTTATCGCGACTACATTAGAAAAGACGAAGTGTTTTTTTGTTTAAGTATTAAATACAACTTTACGAAGGCGTTGTACCCGGGGCTGTTTCATAAAAGGCAAATGATCGCGACTTGTCGTAAAGGGTCGTCACGTGACGGCCTCGCGCCACCAGCCCCCCCCCCCCCCCCCACTGCTCGCTCTTCTCGTCATCCGCGTTTTATAATCCTCTGCTCCAAAGTTTTAAAACTTTAACGACCACATTTTTGTGAAAGGTAAAAAAAGACTAAAGACGAGCACTGGGGGCCATTAAAACAAAAACAAAGTATTGCTTCTCATAAACAAAAGTGTTTCAGCAGTACATTTCGCGTGCCAAGTGTTCTAAGCCTTCTTCCCGTCGCGAGGCTGCTGGTGTCGATGCAGAGCCACGACTACGATCTCACATCCAAGTGGTCAAGCCCGCAGATCACCGCGTCAGGAGTAGCAGAGTGGTGTGGCATCAACGCTGTGATGTCTCCTGGGGACGGTGGTACGGCCAAGTTCAGCGCATGGAATAATTGTTTTTTGTTACCACGGTTGCGACGCAAACACCCACAACCAAACGGCACCATTGAATGTATCGTATATAGCAGCGTTCCATTACTCGCAACAACAAGCGACCGTCGCTTGTTGTTGCGATCTAAACGTTGTGATTTATTATTTTTTCTACCTACGTGACTTTACCGAAAGAACCAAAGAGTATGGATTCTTGCAGTCACAAAAACTTCAAATCAAGATCGTTCCCTTAATGTTTAATTAACTGAGAAACTGAGTTCACAAACACGCGAATGATAAAAAAATATAGCTCATCCTGCCACATTGCAATAAAATAGAAAGGTGCTAAATGCGTTCAACTTTGAGTCCGTATAAAGTTGAGATTGCTCGAAACCGCACCCGTCGATCATCCTCTCAAGCGCGTCATTTGCACTCCCTGCGTTACACAAGCAAGACGCTGACAATTTACCATCAGCGATGGTGGACCACGCTCCTTCCTTCCCCACAGAGGGCACTGACCGGCGGGGCGCCGCCAAAGGTTAAACTCTCCTTGATCGGCAATAACCAGTCACCCACATTTAGGCCAACGTTGCCACCAACCAGGTCCACTCGCTGGAGTCTGTTCCCGTGAAGACACCAATGGAGACATTATTACGTCAGTTGATGTTTATGACATTCCCATCCCTAGTTCGTGTATTTTTAACAAATCCTAAGCTGACCTCTGTTTTCACATTCGTGAGCGACTTTAAGAATATTGTCTACAGTTTATGGGCATAGACTAGCAATAACTCGCGTGTAGGTACACAGAGAGAGTGTGTGGGTTGCTCGACATGAGTGTGTGTGTGTCCGTCTCTCCGCTGTAGTGTAGAGGTTAGCACGTTGCAACACGAACCCTGTTCCCGCTCACGGCTAACACCAGTGACGATTATCTGAAACGGTCCTGGGCCTCCCCTAGATCGATTCAGCTTCAAATGAGTACCTGGTGAGGTGTGTTAAAATATCGCCACTGGGGAGACAAAGGTGGTTGGGCGTGGTCTTGGCCACCCACCTCCTCGTGTACCGTGCTCGCTAACAACACTTGCCCAAAGTCTGTTAAGGTTATACGGAGTTTATTTGTCATTTGTATCTCTGTGTGTTGAAGAAGCCTTGTCAGAATCTGATCCTGACACCGCAACTTTCAGAATTCACGTCTGAGTGCGTCCAATGCCGTTCAGTCACACACTTCAATCACGTGTAATCCACGTACTATTCTATCCCCTACAAAGTATAAGTATGTGCGTGAATTGTGGCGCTTGCTGAAATGTGTCGATAACTCAAGCGCCTTGCATCACATATTATTTCAACCGTTCCAATGCCCTGATGGAGGTCTAACCAAGCTGACCCGCAGTGGCACCTCTCGCTGTTGAATAAGGTGTGCGTAGCACTGGCATGCAATGGCCATTCATCTGGCAGTAAGGGGCCGATGTCGCCGCGAGGTTTTCCCCAAATATTGGGCACCTCGCGGTCTCGTCGCCGTTCTGCCCGCACTCACCGACTGTGGCACAGAGACACGTGTATCCGCGTGTACCGTTCAGCACAAGCAAAGATCAGGTCCCGGGCTGAAAGCCGTGCCCTTTGACGTGGATGTTTTTACCGATTGTATTTTTTATGCGGTCGTGAAAAAAAATAGACCTGGGCCAACCCTGTTGCATACAGCTGCTTTATAGCGCGTTCCTCGGGGGTTGTTGGCCGAGCGCGTGTCCCCCCGCCGGAGGTGTCCGTGGGACGTGCTTGGAGTGTGGACTGTGACATGGGGGGCCAAGGGCTCCACATAGAATCGATGCTGCGTTCCAGGTGATGACGATGATGCTCCAGGTAATGATGCTCCAGGTGATGATTCTGCAAGTGATGACGATATCGCGCAGTGCAAGCTCCAATGAATCACTGTCAAGTCCTTTTTTGTCATTTTCGGCCAAATGTACCCCCATGAAATGTAGAATCCATTGGTATCTCTTGCACTCTTTTAACTTGTTTAAATGGATGGGGAATTAGTGTTGGTTATTTATATTATTTGGCTGCTATACATTTCTACGTAAGTCACTTCGTTATCATTTGTGGCCAAGTCACATCTGAAAAAGAAGCTAATAGCTCAGTAGGCTTTACCTGGTAAAATAGTTGTTTTATTTTAGTTTGTGATTTGATTACCTTTCCTATACTTTGCACTCAAATCGTGTGTTTTATTGTTTCTGACCCGCCCCAACTGGGAATCTGTGAAAAAGAGCTTTATATCTCATTGGATTCCTACAGTATAAAGATGTTGAGAGCCCTAGCAGCGCACGTGGACGACTGGGGCATCCACGGGCACTGGTTCACCAAACCACAACAGATCAGCATATTTGCTTCATAATTGCTGGTGCAAAAACGCACGTCTTTAGTATTATTGGTAGGGGATAGTGTTTTACTCTTCCGAGTGTTAACAAGCAAATATATAATTTCCTCCACATGATTATCGCAGAGATTTACCACTCATCCTACCATGCGCAGCCTGCACATGCAACAGTTGTGTCCATTGTGTATTTATGTCTGAAACCCTTTCTGGCTTACCCAAGTCTGTGATGAACTACAGTTGGTTTCGAGGTGGCTGAGTGGCTCAGACATTACAACACCCAGCCATCACCAGCGAGTGATAGGTTCAAATCCGGGTTTCAGCTGCCTGTGATTCATCTGGGTTATCAAGTGAAGTGTGTGAATGGTCTCGACTTGGTTACCAACAACTACAAAAATCACACTTTTTGATTCTGAATTTGATTTGTTTAAATTTGATACTGAACGATGTGGGTTTGATTGCCATCAGACTCTTGAGGATAGAGGCTTATTGCAGCGAGTTCATAAGTAGTTCTGTTATGTCATCTTCTATGCCCGTTCGATGACACAGGGCAATGCACTGCTAGCGGCAGTGTTTAGAATAGAAATGTATTCGTCTCATGAGTATAATTTGGAAAATAAGTAACACATAATAAAAACTAATATTTCATTTTTTCCATTTAAACAAACCCGTTTCCATGTTGTGGTACGGATGGTTAGACGGGAGGGAGTTCGGCATTGTAGAGGCATCAAGAACGAGCGACCTCCCACTGAGTGGAGATCAATTGGCTGTCCGACAAGAGGCAAGAGGGGGGCACGGGAGGCTGGTCCGGGCATCGTGGACTTAAACCCACCACTAAAATCGCCATTATTGGACATCTGTGAAAAAGAGTTTCATAGCTCATCGAATTCAGTCTGAATACAGATTCTGATTCCCACAGCCTCTGTTCTCCTCGCTGTGCACGAGGGGCTCCACTCACTTGAGGAAACAGCCCAGCGGAACCCAGCTGCAAATTAAACTGGTTATTCATTGATTAACTCATTGTGCATTGCGGTTGAGCAGTATATGTTATTACCTGTGAGATGCGGGTCTGCTTATATACGTTATTGTTCATTACACATGGTTGAGCAAATAAAAAAAATCTTTCAAGGATCTGGGTGTGATTCATGCAAGGGTGAAGGGCCATGCAATGCTGGCGTGCCTCATGCACTCTGCCAAGACAGCTGATCTGCCAGGTTTAATGACCCTGTCAACAAGTACCGTCACGCCCCTGACCTTCACCTGTGTGTGGGGCATGACTTTACACATGGCCAAGGTCTCATCTTGTTTGAATCAAACAAGAAAAAACACGCATCTGCATGTATTCTGTAATGTTTTTCATTATAAACATGGACTCGTATAATAAAGGGTT